ACATATATATATATATATATATATATATATATATATATATATACAGCGTGCAATGGAACTAATGAAATCTTTTTTATCTTACAATGTCGGTAACGTCGCACATTTTTTTGAGAGCCATCGTTGACCCATCCTTTTGGTATATCAACTCGAGCTTGCTTAAACCTACTGATCGGCCGAAATCTGCTATTGCTCTGCTATTGAATGATATTATAAATTAAACTTGTGATTTTGATATAAAAGTATGACAGATCTCCGATTAGTAAGTATTATCACATTGTCATATAGTTCAAATAGTTTCAACATCAATATCTTGATTACGTATGCAATTCTTATAGATAATTTAATTATATATAAAGTTGTAAAAGTTACATGTTATATGGATTTTTATTGTCATGTTTTATGTGAGAAATGTTTATAAATTTATATATTTTATTTGCTCGTTTATATATTTGTTGATCGTATTAAATACATGAGATATTTGAGATTTTGTCTTATTCGAAATACGTTTTTATGTTTGGTATGGATCATTTATACACAATTAAATAAGACATGCAATAGCTAAAATTAAGAATATATATTCATAAATAAATTTTTAATTTATTTATAAGTATATATTTTTAATTTTTATAAAATAATCATTTACAAAGAATCTACAACTTCTAATTAAGTTCTATATATGATCCATAAAAGTTTCATAAAACATCCGTAATTCATCCATATAACCTCCATGAGACGTCTATATAGACATCTAATGGAGGTCTAATAGAGCTCCATTGGAGCTCTATTGAATATAACTCATGGAAGTAACATGGATCTCCATTAGAGGTCCATCTGATTTCCACCATGGAGATAGATGTCGCATGGAGGCTGTGGAGATTATGTGGATGTAATGTTTCGTGTGGTTTTTATCTTGGTTCAAGTCACATGCTTAACCCCATAAACAAACCCTATTTTTTTTGTTACACATAAAAAAGGCGAATAACCAATAAAATTAAAGTACAATTTTGCGTAAATGATATTTATTAAAAAAAGATACCAATTTTTTTCAAAAGGAGCGTTCTGTTAGAGACGACAAACAAATTTTTTAATTCATCGATTGATTAATCGCATAATGCGCAAATGCTGTCTTTATAGAGTAAAGTTGCATTTGCGCATAATGCGATTTATCGATGAATTAAAAAACTCGCTTGATCTAGATGTATACATTTTCAGGGCCTTTTTCAATCTTCGGTTAAGTTAACCAATGGTTAATCCGCAGAAGTGCCAATCGTAATTCAATGCTCAGAAAATAGTATTTTTTAACCTAATATTCTTTTCGTGTTGTAGGTATTTTGGTAAATAGATGTAATTGTAAGTAATATTCGATAATTAATATAAATAAAAATTATTAAACAAATTCGCTTAAACAAAATTTTAATATTTATTTATAATAAATAGTTTATTTCTTTAGTTAGTTGTTGGCAATCGTGATGATCGAATTAACTGGTTAGCTTAACTCAAGATTGATGAAAGAGGCCTTCAATCGGACACTCACATCGGCCGATGCCTAGGAATTTTCTAGTGAATTGTCTATCAGAAGATCTATTATTTATCGCCAATCGGCAATATGTTCGATTGGATCTCAATCGTCCCGTTTGATCCCGTTGGACACTTAAGGTGACACTCGTTTGACCACGTCCCGATTGACCACTAGGCACAGGGGCCAGCGTCTAGAATTTTTCCACTGTTCAAGCGCTGTGAGTGGCTAGTGGTCAATCGGGACGTGATCAAACTTACAGCCATTTACAGTCATCGATACTTGAAGCTTTCCATTAGATTAATCAATCAAAAGATGTAATTTTAAATTAACCAATCAGCAATCGGGCGTCTTTTCAAATAGGTTTTCATTTTTCATTTATAGTGCAAATTGCACACAAGCAGTGTATACCTTCTATGTATATAATCTAACTATATTTAAGAATTACAGAAACAAAAAAATTAAATTATATCATTAAAAAATAATGTTGTTTTCTTTAGTGCAAATCTGAAAAAATCGCTGCACTGTTCTTAATGACTTTTGGAACGCAAGAGTTTCAATTAAGAAATTCTCTTTCTAAATGTTTCAACTAGCAATATCTCTTTTTTTAGAAAACATATTTTTCTATTGATTATTTGAACCTTTTTTCCACTTGTATTAGACTTTTCGCAATGAAGGAAATATTAAGAATACAAATAACAATTAAATTTTTAGAAATAAAAATTCAGAATAAAAATTAAAGATAATGCACAATAAATACAAGTAAATATAAGATATAATTATATTTTATACTTATTTATATTCATTGTGCGTTACATTTAATTTTTATTACGAATTTTTCCAAAATTTAATATTTATTTTTTTCTTAATATTTGCTCCATGCGCAAGCTTAATTTGTTTTAAAATATGCTGAAATATGCTATGGAAATTCATTATCAAATCATATATTATTATAAATTATAGATTTTTAATATTATCAATACATTTTAAAATACATTTGTGTAATGCGATTAACCTTCTGTGGTTTCAAGCGAGAGTTGACACCAACATTGGTCTTTGTCAGCACAGATGGCGACATCGGTTCAATTTAATGAATAAAATAATTCGGCTACATATTATAAATATTTAATAACATATATTTCTAATTAAATTAATTTCAATTAAAATATTAATAAGTTTGGAAATATTCCTCGCTAACATTCTAACATATCACAATAAATTGAAAATTACATAAAATTTTTATACATTTTTCTCGGCTTATTATTTATTTTGTATCACTATATATAATTAAATAAATTGTAAAGCTGTAGAATACAGATTTGTCATAAATAAAAATAAAAAAATAGGAAACCAAAAAAATTTGCAATCGTAAAAATATCGCAAAATATCGCAAAAATATCACAAAAATAGGAACCAAAAAAATTTGCGTAAAATATTTATTATATAAAATATTATATAAAATATTACATAAAAATATTATATAAAATATTAATATAATAATATTAATATAATATAATATAATACTGTGATCATAAATGTATAATCATAAATATATAGATTTTTATTTATTGTTGCTATATATTATATTTTTTATTTCTTGTATTATATAGGAAAATCTTATAACTATATACGATTTAATGTAATTTGATATAAACAAAATTTATGATTAAAATTAGGGATTAAAATTAAAATTAATTAATTTAATATTATTTTCTTAAATTTATTGAATTTTAAAATTATATATTGTATACAGTATATTTAAAAAATAGTAGTAAGATTTAGCTTAAGAATAACAAAAATTGATAATAAATATGTATAAAAACTCATATCAATATTTAATAGATGATAACAAAATCTAAACCTCATTTTTTATTAATTTTTTAACAAAAGAAGTGCAATGATTTATTTTTATTCCACATAAACAAACGACATAATTTTGACAAGTTAAAACGTTAAAATTGATATGACGTGCGAATATGGTTTCTATTGGTCAATGAAATTTCACCAAAAAAGTAGTATAACTTTTGGTAGAAATGTATTATTTGCACAACACAAAGATAAATGTGAGATTTATATCGATTTTTGTGTTTTAATATCGCGTGTATGGTGCGCATGATCTTTGTAGAAATATGGTTTGTTTACCTGTAATGATTTAGTATTACAGCGTTTACACATAAGCGATCATCAAAGTTCTTTCTTCGAATTTTGCTTTGTTATATAAACAGATGTAAATGACAATCTTGTAAATCATAATCATCTCATTGTACTGAGAACGTAACGATAAATATTAAAAATTTATAAGAAACAAGTTTATAGATTCTATACAATTCCTATTAATTTATTTTATTTATTTTAAAAATCAATTTTTTCAGTATCAATTTGGTTTTCATAAGAAATGTAAAATTTCGTTATTTCGTTAGTAAATTCTCACTCTTACTATATTAAATATTATGATTAAATATTAAATATTAATATTTTTTTGAACAAATTTTTTCTTATTGAAAATTTAATTTGTAATATTATACCATCTTAATTTTTAACATTAAACACATCGATAATCAATCATTTTATTAAAATCTGTTCGAATCTTCAACAAAGAATGGAATCTTATTTAAGTAATGTTTAAGTTTAATGAATTGCTTATAGATGTTGATCTTTTCAAGTTTTTATAATGAATATCTTCTCTCAAGAAACTGGTTTGAAGACTAAGTCAAAGAATTTCTCTTCGCGACGGCATTTGATGTTATCTGTAAACATCTTGTATAATGTGCAGTCGCGATCAGCGTTAATATTCCGAAGCTCTCATCGCAAGCATTTTTTCTGACATATTTTACGAGCGATCCTCGATATACGGTACTGTTGTAAAGCGGGAACTAGAAGCTAACTTGTATCTGCTTCGCCTTGCTGTTTTACGATTATGATCGTCTTCTATGTTGCCACATGGCTCGCTGGTAGTTCCGGTCGAGGAATTACTCCCTGTAGTTCGGCACCTTGCCTCTCTTCTTTCTTCCGCCATCCTACTTCCTCTTGAGAGAGATATTTCAACCCTTCTCGAGATGCTGAAAATAGCGACTATCATCCTACATGGATATCCTCGGATACGAATTAAGTTCATTATTTTAAGGATCATTATTTTAAACTTTTTTTTAATTTCATATTGAAAATATCGATCCTAATAAGAAAAATATTTTTGCGTGTTTAATAATTTCTTTTTATTTGATAATTTTATATATACATATATATATATATATATAT